GTTCGTTTAACTATTATACACGACATACGTTTGTTTTTTTTTGGGGGGGGGTCTGTTAATGAAAGTGTTCCAAAACGCGACATTGATTTTTTGACGACCTAATATAAACTTACTGCTATGGACTATTCTTTTAAAAACTAAATATATTAGGTTTTATACGAACCCTAAAGAATTGCATCAACACGTAAAATGATCCTACATATTATTAGAATTCCGACATGTAAGACTTATGTTCATTAATATCACACAGTGTTAACTTACCGTGTTTTCAATGAAAGAATGCTCAATGAACACCAGTTCTGACTCTTGTTCATTCAATACGATTGTTACTGACTTTTCGTTGTCTTCCGCTATAAAAATAAAGAAACCAGTACGAGTTTAAATTTTAATGCTTTTCTTTCAACAACTTTGATTTTATGTTGAGATGAGCGTAATTGAACATTTAATTTAATCAACATACAGTATTTTGTATAGTAATTAATTCCTTGAAACTTATTATTTAAGTTACTAAATGAAAATCCTGAGTGGATTATAATTACTCTTTAATATTTAAAAAAAATTGTTTATTTGTTTGTAATTGGGCTATCAGCTTTAAAAAAATCAATTTTCTCTCATAACTGCCAAACAGCAATCAAATGTTGTTTTTGTTTTGTAAGCAATGCATTATAGTAACCATAATTATAGAAATTTTCTTTAGTATTTTAGCCGCCAGCGGCGACACCAAAACAGTAAAAGTGCTTTTGTGGAGTGGGGCAAGCAGATAACTTTCAGAGTGGGCATCAACATTTTATTTTATTAATATATATATATATGTTACAAATTCATTTTCGTTTTCACCAAAGGTAAAATTGAAAAGAAAACTGTGACGTAGAGGCTTAACTAGACTTTTTTCATGAAATTCTGATTTTTTAAGCTGAATAAATCAAAGTAGGAATGGTTGTAACGAACTTGACCTTTATATGAACTTTTCGCTTCTAAACTGAACAAAAATTAACATGTATGCCACAAACCTGACCTTTATATGAACTTATCGTTTCTAAATTGAACAAAAACCAACATGGATGCCACAAACCTGACCTTTATATGAACTTATCGTTTCTAAACTGAACAAAAACTAACATGGATGCCACAAACCTGATCTTTATATGAACTTATCCTTTCTAAACTGAACAAAACTAACATGGATGCCACAAACCTGATCTTTATATGAACTTATCCTTTCTAAACTGAACAAAAACTAACATGGATGCCACAAACCTGATCTTTATATGAACTTACCGTTTCTAAACTGAACAAAAACTAACATGGATGCCACAAACCTGACCTTTATATGAACTTATCTTTTCTAAACTGAACAAATCGTAGTAGGAAGGGTTTTAAAAACTTGATCTGTATTTGAACTTCTGGCTTCTAAACTTTTATGACTTTGAAACCGTCACATAAACGTTACCTTTTAGGCTTGACTTCAACAGAAACTCTAAACATGTTAGTGATTTGCGTTATAATGACTATTTAGTTTTACCAGATTATTACCTGTAATCATTTGAAAAAGGTGGCTATATATACAAATTCTGATTTGAGCAGCTACAGCTGCGTGTGATTTTAATTTTATATAATAAACCCAAGAGATATGCTAAAAAGTGTAGGGTTTACATTCCGGAAGTAGACTTGTTTTTCAATTTCAAACAGAAATAGCTAACAGTTTTTAAATATTTTTTTACGAAACATAAAGGCTACTATTTTAATTTTCATTAATTATAGCACTAACAAGACAAATGACTAAAAAACCCTACTCTATTTAGCAAAACACAAAATACGTACCGAATGATTCAAAATAATTTCGAAATGTTCTAAACGTGAAGTAGACAAGAGGGGATCCTAAGTAGTGCCGGCTGTATTTAGATCTCAAATCGGTCAATAGATGGAGCGATAAGCTAAGTGTTTGTACTTGTAAAAAAACTGGGAGCCATTGTATGAATACGCCGCGGCTAAAAATGAAATATAGGAGGCGAGAAAATGTATGGTTAATCATTAAATATCTTACATTTTGATCCAATAATACTTGTATGTACATAATCCATAAACGTATTTCTTTATTATTATTATTTATTTGAAAATTTTTACAATTAACTCTAGCAGTACATCTAGATAATTCAGAAGTTTGTTTCTTGTTAACATAGGCCCTTAGATACATTACAATTTCTTACTTATTACTTCAGTAGTATATACGTAAATGGTTCAAAAATGTGTTCCTTTTTAACATTAGTGTGTATATATTTATACATTATGAAATAGAACAACTAGAACAAGTTTTGTTTGAAAATTATAGCTTATGTTAGACGATTTGATCATGTTCTACTTGTACATTTTTGCTTGCTCTCGTTCGATCTGAGTAATGAGTAACCCAATGGGTAAGTTGCTCGACTTCCTAAAATAAAGTGAAGCGTCACCTGCCTCGTTTTAGATGCTGGAATAGTTGTTCTGAAGTGCAGTGATGTTGGTGAAAACAGCACGGCGCATAAAGAAAGAATGCGCGTGTGTTTGGTACGAAAGCAAAGTATATAGTCAAAAGTAGGAGGAGAAAAAAACATTTTGAAAAATAATAAATGAACAGGTGAGAACATTTAAAACATTAAGCAAAGTTTTATTTGCGTAATTTATTTTGTACAATTATTGAGTTCTTTACTTCGTGGCAAGATATCTCTCTTTGTTTAAATTTGCAATGCTCGACAATTAGCGATCTATCACTACATAACAATATATTTAAAACAACTGAATAAAACTGATTGGGTTAGTTTTACTTATCAATGATATTGTACGGTTAAAATTAGAAAAAGATTAAGTTAAATTCAATCTGTAATGAAATGAAAACCACGAATAAAGTTAGATATATATATATAATTATCAAGTCATATATCCGCTGAGATTATTTCTATCAAGCGTTCTTACTCACGCAGCTTCTGCGAAACATGACAATTGAAAGCTAACCTTCAAATTAATCTCCTGTTTATAGTTCATAACAGTTAAAAATTTAATATAAATGCTGAAAAACAAGAGAACAATATATTATTTATATAGAAATTTAACAAACGTTTTAGGGTTTAACTAAATCGATTGTTTTAGATAACTGAGTTTAGATAAGTTTCACTAGTTGAAATGATAAAATCGATACGATCCTATTCCGTTTTCAGTTTCATGCCAGATCTATGGAAAATCAAAAGTCAAATGTTATTTTTACTTTATACCGACTCCTCAAATGTGACAGCTGGTCGCCCAACAGGCTGTCACCGAACACACATACGGTTCACATCTCTCCACAAACTATTTTTGGATATACTATTTTTTCTGGTTGGTCGGTTGGATATTAATACACATATCAGCCATATCTAAGAAACCGATCTGGCCACTTGATAAAAGGAAAGGTAGTTAAATATTTCATCACTGGAAGAAACAATTAAATTGCACGTATACGTAACGTCATGTTGCAAGGTATGACCATTGCCAACTGACGTATTTAGTGCTGCATGTTCTCTGATTGGCTATCTCGTTTAAACGTATTACCAGCTGAGGTGAATAAACGACTAACGTGACATATATAACTCCAAATGCAATCGCTGAGAAACAGGAAAAAAGCCAAATTTTTTTAACTACGTGATATTCTATAATTTACATCGTGAAAACTGTGACCTCTCTCCTCGTAGTAAACTGTGACCTCTCTCTCTCTCCTCAACATATGCATCTCCTTTCTTTTAACTAAAGTGTAACCTTTTTATTGTATTTAAAACGAACAGTCAAGAAACATCTATGACTTTAAGGTTATCAGTAAAAGCCATAACGTGTTTTTGAATAAATCTGTAGTTTTCCAACAGTTTTTTCACCAAAAACTCAGACATTTTTAAACGAATATAATAACTAATTAATTATAAAAAAAAGGTGTAAACCGTATTTGTATTTCTAAAACGAGGAGATTGATTATTTATAATGTAGGATGCGATGGAATAGAGGAATGCTTCAAATGAGTTACAGAGATAGCAAGATCTTAAAGTAGGTCTTAACTTAGAAATTATAGAACTTCTCTGACAACTCTGAAATTATAAAGTAATTAAAATGACGAATGAAAAAAATAAAAATCTATGCTCAAAGGATCCCACTTTCCATAAAGAATTTAAAGAAGTACCTTTGGATCTACAAAACCTAAGAAATAGGGAAATATAACAGGTGGTATAGAACTTAAAAGAATATAACTTCACATTTAAGTATATATATATATTTTAAGAAACAGGGTGTTGTAAGGGATCTGGGATGTGTACAAATGGTAAGAGTTCATATAGAGACTCCTTTGATCATTGATAGTGTTGAGTACTAGTACCAGAAAAGCTTCATTTTTTAAATTTAAGCAACAATACGTGTTTTATGGGTTTTTCATGGATTAGTTGCTTATTCACGTGTAACATTACATTATTTTGTACGCAATCGGACCGTGTCAATACTTTGACAATTCAAGATATGATGAAATACAAATATTCAGAAAAGTAAGTAAGAAATAGTTCCGAAGGATCTTTAAATTCAGAAATAAGATGTTTGCTCGAACGATTTGAGATTTTAAGACAACATGAAGTTATGAAAAACTTCAGTTTCTCTGGAACATCTGAAAGGATATCCTATACCCTTTCTTCAGTGATACTTCCTCAGTTGGTAAAAGAAGAAGGGAACATAATTTACATCATTTAGATGTTTAAAGATAAGTTACGTGTGATAGTGGCCGTTCAATGAAGGTGAACGGAAAGTCCTTCATAAATACTTATGTTGGGTTTGTGAAATTGTGTTAATAATGTTTCCTTAGTTTTCCTTTTGTGTAGGTCTTGTTCTTTACTCAATATCTTTATGTTTTTATTGTACAAATTATATATTTATATATAGTTGTGATCTATGTGGTTAGCTAGCTTTCATCAGAAGCTAATATTAATTTATGATTTCCATAAAAATAAATTAACTACATGGTGATGAGTTTAGCTAATTAGATATAATGTTAAAACTACACAGCGTGGTCACAAGTAAATAGACACCACCTTTT